AAGAATGCTGGCAATGAAACCACCAGGAAAGAGAAAACGAGAGAGGCCGAGGAAAAAATTATGGACGCCATCAAGAAGGGTATGCAGGAATTGGGTGTGGGGGAGGACGATGCGCAAGACGGCGTGAGTGGAGACGTATGTGGGGACCCCTGAAAAGGGACAAGCCCGTAAGATAAAAAAGAAGAAGAAGAAGAAGATGAATGGTCGTAACACGAGTGGTTTAATCTGCTTTGGAATGAAGCCCTTCAAACAAAGAACGATTCGTATTTGTGACGCAAGAAAGAGTCGAAGAGGAAGAAACCCAAGTAAAAGACATGAGAAGTAATGAGGATATTTCTCACGTATATGGATCGGGCTATCATAGCCACACTAGCCACACTATGCAACACAAATAAGTTAAAGACAGAAAAGGAAGCTCAAATGATAAAAAAGAAATAAAGAACAGCAGTTATTTTGCCCCGACCGGTTTCATTGCATGTTCAGGGGGTATATATATATATATATATGATGCCCCGAGGAAAGGAAGCTCAAATCGAGTTCTTTAACCCTGCCTCTGCCCTTTGTAAAACCTTGGATCTGCCCTTAACATTGTATACCTCACTCAGTAAGAACAAAATGAATTATTTGATGACAACTAAAGCCTAGATTACATTTGCCACGGGCGACATACGTTAAAATCGTATATGATCTTTTTTGATGTCGTTAGTGGCTATTATATGGGATGCGGCGAGTATGTTTGCAAAATTACGTGCGATTGCCATGACATTTTTCCGACATGACCTTAAGGTTTGTTGGTTGAACAGTGATCGTACGAAGCCTTTTCGATCTCAGAACAGTTGCAGCACGCCATCTCCTTTTGAAGATCGGAGTAGCCCCTTACAATCACACTAAATTTTTAACATATTCACAATCGTTATGCCTCAGAAAAAAGAAAAAAGGAAGGTCTCCAATGGTGGAAAAGAAAGAGACATACAACAAATTCGACCATTATCAGGATTACCGCAAGTCCATTGAACAATGACCGCATGGAAACCTGTACAATGCCATCTACTGCCTACCGGTACTATGAGCTTACAGTTTCAAAGTTTTTCTTAAGTTTTAGCTTTACATTTTGGTGCCTTTTACCATTTTGTACATGTGCTGAGATAATCTAACAAACACCTTAAGGATTTTTAAAGTTGCAAAGGAGATAAATCCAAATAAAAATCGGCAATCCGGCTGGCTAGCATATGCCTGACATGTTGAGGCTTAAGGATTCTATTTTTGACAATGACAGTAACTGGACGACACCGATTGAATAAGGTTTCCTTTATGACTCGAGCATAAAAAGTTTCAAAACTACTTGGGATAACCATCAAAGTGAGGTTTTAGTCGTAAATTAAAACGTGCGAGTCGTCTGATTATCTCGTTTTCTCATTACTTTGAATCAATTACTCTAAAGTATGATTACGTAATATAGACATTTTTAAATTGGCTGCCCTCCTTTTGCATTAGTTACAGTCGAAATAAATTAAATATGAGAAGAACATATGACATTGGAATGGATATTCTTTTCTAACATTTAACATTTTCAAAGAAACAAGGCAGCAAAACGGACAAAAGTACAGACACCAAGAAAGAGAAAAATCTAAGCTGATTTGCCAATTTGAGCAGCATGTCACTGATTCTGTAAGTTTGAGAAATCATAGCTGACATGGTTTTCCTTAAAAGGACACTATATTGGCCAAAATAGTTTTTTTTTTAATTTTGATGCAATGTTACACAATGCTTAACAGCATAATCACCACCAATTTTTAATTGTGCACTGCACTATTTTTTTTTAAAAAAGTGACTAGCAAAGGTCTTCAGGCCCATGAAATTTCACAATCACACATTGAAAATGCCATTATGTACATAAGAGATTACTGTGCCCAAAGGAGTTTATTTCCATTTTCAACAATTTAATATACATTAACCAATTTACTTTCATTTTTAAATGATTGACTAACAAAATTTTTAAGATGAGACAAGTATCAATAGAACAATTATGAATGTCCAATTTCTACATTCTGAGACTCTGAACATAGTGAGCGATTGGATTTGGCAAACTGCACTGGTACGAGTTTAATTCAGCTTTTGACACTTAATTACACAATACACAATAACAGATTTTCCAGCATTTTCATTTAATCAACTAACAAAATTTTTAAGATGCCAGAATGTCAAAAGAGCGGTTTTACACATCAAATCGGTTCAATACCGAGCATGATCGGGCCACTATTTTAGAAGTTATGCTTTTTTTCACATTTCCTCAGATTCAATTCTTAGGCATGTTAACAGTCTCATTATTAAACTAATAAGATACGCAAAAGTGTTTGTTTCACATTTCCTGCATCTTTACAACATTGTTAGTTGATTTTGTAAAAATGATGGTAAACTTGTTATCGTGTATTGTGTAATAAAGTTTCAAAAATGGAAATAAACTCATATCATTGCAGTTTGTCAGATTCAATCATTCACTATGTTCAGAATATCAGAATGGAGGAAATTGGACATTTAACACTGTTCTATTGATATTTTTCCCATCTCATCAATTTTCTTAGTTGATCACATAACAATGGCAGTAAACTGCTAATTTTGTTTTATGTTAAAAAATTGTTAAAAATGGAAAAAAAAAACATTTCAGAACAGTGCTGCCTCGTTTACATTTTGGCATTTTCAAGTAGTGACTTTGAAGTTCCATGGGCCTGAAGACTTTTGCTAGGCACATTTTCTGAATATCCATGATACTAATATCTTATTATTAAAAATTGATGGTCATTATGCTGTTAATCATTATGTAATATTGCATCAAACTTTGAAGAAACCCCTATTTTGGGCACTGCTCCCATGATGACCATTTAAGGAAAACCATGTCACTTACTGTTCTCAAACTTACAGGAAAGAAACATGGGACTAAAATACAGTTTCAGTAGGCAATGCAGTCTGTTTGGTAA